TAGATTGTACGGGTGGCCGAGTGTGTAGTTGCATGGCTGGTGTGTGTAGTTTTGGATTTCGTGTGAGTCGAGTCCGGGTGTCGTGCATAAGAATCCTAGATAATCTTGATAACCTTCAAGAAACATCAAGAAATTAAATCTTTTAACATTGTGATATGGAATTGGAGTAACTAATTTGTGAAACATTTTACTCGAAATTTCGTGATAAATAAACAAGAATGAATGGCATCGGAGAAAAATTCAATAATGATGGTTGTTTGTTACATGCGACTGGACAAGCTTTTTAAGACTATTTTTGCACAGAAGAAGAGACTCCATGTCCTACCTTGCTCCACCTTTTTGGATGAGACAAAAAATTTCAATTTTTGTCTCATTGACGTCTGTCTTAGTCCCAGTCCAATGCAAGCCAAACGCAGTATAATATTGTCACGTCTTCTTTTACGCAAGAAATGGGCCTTATAGGCCCATTTGTTACACAGTACATGACAGAACAAGTTGTATTGCGTTTGGCTTACATTGGACTGGGACAAGAAAGATGTCAATGAGACAAAAATTGCAACTTTTTGTTTCGTCCAAAAAGGTGGAACAAGGTAGGAAATGGAGCCGCTCTCTATATTTGTTCTTCTGTGCAAAAAAATAGCCTTAGAAAAGCGTATTTGATCGGCAGTGTTTTTTTGGCATTTTCATAAATGTGGTTAGTTCGCTTCGCAGCAACAACAAAAGTAGAATTAATTACAAACAAACCTGCATCAAAAATGAGACCGGGATCCAAGGCGGCTCTAGGGTTGACATGGCCGCTGCCATAATCAAACGGGGTGGCTGGAACAAATGTCATAGTTTCAGAACCCGAATATTGTTGGGCTAGAATCGGTCTTTCACCTCTATCAAGTGTATTTGATGTTGTCATTAAAGCCGACTTGATGGCAGCAGGACTCCACCTCGGGTGCTTCTGCTTCACAAGGGCCGCAATCCCCGCTATATGTGGTGCAGCCATGCTAGTTCCCGAAATCATAGCAAAGTGTTCTCCTACTCAAACCAATTCAATTAGGGTTTACTTATGTAATAAACAAATAAATGAAACTTTTTTAAAGTACAATGTGTTGAAGTGTTTACCTATGTAATTAGCCTCATCGGTTCCATTCGGGGACCAAGAAGCCCAAATCAAAGAACCGGGTGCTAAAATATCGGGTTTCAAAAGATCCGCATCTCGAAAGCTGTAATCTTTTATGTTTGGCCCTCGAGCTGAAAATAATGCCACCATTGGTGCTGATTTGTGAAGAATTGGCTCCAAACCATCTCCAATGGACCCCACTGCTTTAAAACTCTTCACGCGCCCTGTCCAATCCCTTGAAGTTGAGACGTTGTAGTAGTCTATAAGGTCCTATAAATATAATTTGGTAGATTTTTCAAAGTAGAATGTTATAACAAACAAATTAATTAATGAAACAAGTGCAATTTCTTTCATTTAGCAGAATAAAAAAAAGTGTGAAGTACCATGGATTTGCTAACATCGGTGATGAGAATTCCCGGGATTCCAACAGGAACAGGATCAAATTTTGTTCCCGGAGATGTGTTTTCAACCGCAAGAACAAAACCAATTGCACCGAGTGTTTTTGCAGTTTGTGCGACTTTAGTCATTGATGCTGTTCCAATGACGAAATTGAAGGAATACCCACATAAAAGTATGTTTCCTTTTACCATATTTTTGTTTAAAACTTCGGGTTTTTGGCAATCAGATGTACTTGACTTTCCGGAAGAATCTAATAACACATCATTGGCTGCTACAAGGGTGTATTTTTGATTCAAACGTGTAGCAGCTGCATCGATTAGAGTATCATATTAGAATAATATTAAGTCATAACTTTGTTCAAATGGCTAAATGCAAGAAACAAATTATAGAATCTTACGTTCGTTTCTTTTCGTTACAATATTGTACTTTCATGACACTTAATAGAAAGAAAAAGAAAAAAGTTGGGCCTTAAACTTACGTGACATGCCAATTCCAGCGAGGATCTTTCCGTTTCCAAGTGTCAAGTGGTTTTTATATCTCCGATCATCAACAGCTGCAGCTACAGATGCGATCCAAGGGCTGTAAGAGACTAACGTTTTTGAAAAAGGGCCTCCGTTTCCGGCTGCTTGTGCGACAAAAACTCCCGATTTTACAGCGGAGAGAAGAACGGCGTCAAATGGGTTTAAAAAAGTGGTTCTTGTGGTGGCCGGAGGACTATTCGGCCCAACGGAGAGGTTCAGAATGTCGACGCCGTCGTGAACTGCCTGTTATCGGATTATTTGGCATCAATACGATTGTCGGTTATAATCAAATAAAATAAACGAAGATTGTCTTTTGTTATATTGGATCAATATTACAAAAAGAATGAAATATTGATGATCGATTAGAGCGTTTTTGGTTTGTGATTTGTGAATTCCGATGGAATTTGATTTTCAGGTTCCATTCGATTGCCAATTTGGTTGCCAAACGGAGGGAATTCAATTCTATCAGATTTCTTCAAAAGTTCAAATTCCATGTTTGTTGGATTTCACGATTCCGATTCCAATTCCCAGAAGGAATTCAATTCCATTTTTCCTTTCTTATATTAAAAGACCAAAATACCCTTTTATTTAAACCAAACCTGCTCAATGGCAGCAACGACATCAGCAACGAAGCCTCCAAATAGCCTGTAGAGTGCCTTGTACACCGCAATCCTATTCAAATAGTGATTAACTTTTTTCAAACATCTTGCTTTGTCTTTTGTTGCAAATAAATGTTTAAATTCAAGAAATAGCAACATACTTTCATTGTTTTTTTTTTTTTACAGCATCTTACTTTCATTTTTTTTTCCTATCACAACATTTTACTTTGAAAAATCAACCATATTATATTATTATAGCAATGTCGTACAAATACAAAACAATTTTCATTGCTATAATTTGGTTAGATTTTCAAAGAATCATGTCCTATTAAGAAAAAAATAAGATGCTATAACACAAATAAATGAAAGGGAGTTAAATGATGATAAAAACCTAGCACGAGGAGCCATTCCACTTGCTTTTCCATATTCATATCCATGCACTCGCACAGGAATCCCATTATTTCCAGCAGCAATCGCCGCAGTGTGACTGTAAAAAAAAATATTAACACTTCAAAGAGAAATAAATAAAAAAGGCGTTTACGTCTTTTTGCACAGACAGAAAGATCCTAAACAAGTCATGTCACTTTCCCCCCGCCCTGTAACACCTTCCGATTGGCATCAGTCTCAGTTATTTTCACCAAAATACAGTACAACCTGTTCTGTCATGTCATGTCCTAACAGATATATTTTAACCAATGGATAATCACACAAACCTTCCATGTCCATCACCATCCAACGGAGAAGCAAAATCAACGGAAGGATTAAACGCGCCAGAAACCGTAGCGGCTTTTGCAAAATGTTGAGCCCCAACAATCTTTCCATTACAAAAACTTCTCTTCGTATCAGGATCAACTTCACATTTCCCTCTATACCTCGGAAGTGGCCCATAAGGTTCGGAATCAGAATTCCGGAAGCTCGGATGATGTGGGAAAATACCGGAATCCACAAATCCGATCACAATATCCTCTCCGGCCCTATCAAATCCACCACCAGTTGGCCAAACTCCAGTTGGAAGCCCCAAAAATTGAGGGGTGTGTGTTGTAAGTTTCCTCACTTTCCAATCTTGATCCACTGATTTCACACCAGGGGTTCGCCTTAGCGTTTCTGCCTACTAATATACGTATAAATGTATAAGAAAACACGATTGAAAATTGGAATTACCATATTGTTATATATATTTACCGATGTTCTTCGGTTTTTATCAAAAGTTATTAACATAAATGGAAATAAAAAGTCCGGATTGTGACCTGTTCTGGAGAAATATGGACTGCGAAACCGTTGATGAGATGCTTGTAGCTGTAAAGTTTTGTGTATGTTTCATCATCAAATAGTGATTCGAGAAGATTATCGTGTCTTGTTTCGAGGTGTTGGGAGTATGACGTCACCAAATCACTGAACATGGAGCACAGATTTTGAAAAAAAAAGGTGATTAATTTCACACTTGAATGAGTGAATAACGATAAATAAAGAAGATTTTAAGAACAATAAATAACCTTGTGACATCGAGTTTCTGATCGGATTCGACAGCAGTGGCTTCAAAACCATCAATGCCGCCTCTATAACTTATCACTGGATCTCCTTCAATTGTTACGATGTAAACTTCGGATTTTGTTATGATCAAAAGGGTGAATAAGATCGAAATTGTAAAGATATGCTCGACATTCATCATCGTCTCTTTACACCAGGAAAATCTGTTTCCAAGCAAACAAAAAAAATGTGAATTAAATCAAATGAAAGCACCCCATTTCCCTTTTTGCTTGATTCAAATCGAATCACGTGATTCCTGAACTTGGAAACTTTTTAGTACAAACATTAGTTGGTAAACATTAATTCATATCTCCACCCACATTCACATGACAAAATCGTTAATCTTCGTTGACGAAAACACAAAATTAAATGAAGAAACGGACACATTCAGAAGGATTATGCTGTCGGTTTTAAAGAATTGAAAGATGGAGTGAGATGAGACGCATACCAGTTTGATTCAATATGCAACACACCCTTTGAATTACATACGATCCTTGGATTTTATACGCACAAAAACATCACAATGTGTAGAAGAAAGGAATAAAAAGAACGATTTTGTGAACTTCACTTCTTGAATCAACACTAAAACTCAAAACCCAGAAAAGATTAACCCGAAAAAGTTGACAACTTTACTCACATTGATCCAAGAAAGGAATCAAATGAAAACCCCAGTACAGTCTTAAGGGATCTACAGTAAGTGGGTAAGTAGCAAACTTGAGTTGTTTTCAGAAACAAGTGAAATGAACAGCTACATTACTGACTAATCATGAAGTAGAGTAAAAAATGAAATTAAATGATGGGGAAATTTGGCAATGAGAGCATATTTGGGATGAAGGGATGAGTGTAGATAGAGCAAAGGACAGTGTGTGTGAATGTGTGTTCGAGAGGTGGTGGTGGTGGTGGTTAGGGTTTTTCACTTTTTGGGAAGGCGCCAGACAAGGTAGCGAACCAAGGTGGAGTCGTGTTGACAAGTGAGTCGTTGTATGTATGTACCTTCAATTTATTCTAAAAATGTTAACAATAAATAAAATTATTAATATTTTATGATTTTATTAAGGGCCGATTTAATGGCATGAAATTCACTTAATTTGCAGCTTTAATTTATTTATTTTTATAAAGTTTGCTTCTTTAATTTGAAGATCCCTTATAATTGCTACCAGGCCAGGTTTGCAAGCACTAAGCGAACCAAAAATTTGGGCCTTCTTGTCAAATCTGGAAAACTGAAAACTCAAATTCTTTCTAACAATCCAACTTGATTCACTGATTGTATATATTGTAATTAATGAACAATGGAATAAAAAATCAGATAAATGAAAAAATAAGAACCGAAAAGTATTAACCCATGGAATAAAAAATCAGATCAAGAAAGATTCATTCTCGTTTGAATATGCTAAAGAACAAGAGATGTTGTATAGTTAGACAACTCAGAAACGATTTTGATCGAACATGGTCACTACCAATCTGCCTTCAACCGGGATTTTTAAAACAAACAAGATTTTGATCGAAAAAAAGTAAATTCCGATTCCATTCCAATTCCACAAACCAAAGCCAATAACCCTAATCAGCTTTAAGTATTAACCCTAATTAGATAATCAAATGACAACATGACAGATAATGGAAAATAAAAAATGAAAAGTGAAAAAACTGCAAATATATTATAGTTTCAGTGATACTGTGAGTCTGTGACAACCTTTAATGGAGAATGAAGAGGCCGAGAATGGAGAAGGAAGAAGAAGAACATCATGTAATGTATTTCAGCGGTTCACACTTCGGAGTGTTCAAGTCGAGAATGGAGAAGAAGAAGAAGACCAGTAATCGTTGCTTGTACAATAAGAAGAACATAAATTCTTTTGAGGCGTTAGGCATGCAACGATTCCGAGAAAGGCGTGCAGGGAATTCGATTGTTTTTAGGAACAACCAAATGGAATATGGACGAGGTAATCGAGTCATGGGTTTAAGTGGGGCCCCTTAAAAGTGGGGGCCCTAAGCCCTATATTTGTTTATCTACACATAAGACCGACCCTAATTGCTACCGATTAAGTGGCTGCTTACTAGTTGCATTATAATTGTCGCTAGGTGTGTAAGTGAGTCGAGCTATGTGACATCCCCAATTTTCACGGCCAGAAAAGACCGATTTTGTTTATGCTTTATAAAAATCAGAGTACCTCTTTTAATAAAAATGTTGCGGAATTTGTTCCCAGAAAAACATGATAAATACGTTATCAAAGCATTCGAAGAAAGAAAGAAATGTATTTATCCATTTTAAAACATTGGGATGTCATCGTCAATACAGAAACATAAGCATAAACAGAACTTACATTCATTTACACTAGTGATCTACATCTCTTTTAAATCATCCCCCCCCCCAGTGTAAAGTAGCTTCATATCGACACATGTGATACAAATAAGCTTGAGTGGGTCAGGTTGGGAAACCTGGTGAGTACATAGGGTTTTCAACCCACAATAATTAATTATTATTTAAACATCAAAACAATCACCCAATTACCCATCCCCATTATCTTCCTTACTCTTAAGGATCTACCCTAAGAATCATCTATCCTGCATTCATTCATTTCGAAGCACATTGCTTCTAGGGTTTATATGATAGGCACTAAGTCCATAGCTACCAATGCTTGTTCTTAAAGCACTAATTCCATAGCTGCTAAAGTTCATTCATCGGGTACTAAATCCATAGCTACCGGTGTTCAGCTAATAGGTACTAAATCCCAGCTACCAACGTTTATTAACAGGTACTAAGTCCATAGCTACCAATGTTTATTCTATAGGCACTAAGTCCATAGCTGCTGATGTTATTTGTTAGACACTAAGTCTATAGCTACCAATGTTCACTCATATCATCTTTCATCTCTCATCATTCATCTACCCATGCTTTACCCAACATATTCGTAGATATAAAATACATATACATTTTAAATTATTTAAAACAGTATATAATCGTTCATCCAACATAGAAAGCAAGTATTCAAATAATATGCACACATCCACGTAATTTATCTAAATACTTCATATCTATGTGTAAGATGAAAGTAACTATGCACGCACCTGCAATGGTGGTGACTCGGTACTCGGACAACACTTCGTTTACTTTAAAATGAATTTCCGTTGACAAAACCTAGTATCATTTCCACTAGAGTTTAGTCTAATGTTCAACGAGACTAATTAATAGTCTAACTATTATTACTATTATTAATAAGCGTTAAACAATACTCTTCACCCACTATGTACAGACAGAGGCCAGACATTAAACACCCGAGGGCAGGATCATTTTGGCATATAGCACTTTTGAAATCCAACAACCCAGGCGGCCCTTAAAACTGGATTCCTCGTACCGCGAGTGGTTAAAAAGATATTATAACGACACTTATATAACCCATAATAATAGCTCAAATAATTATTATAAGGTCCTAATAACGTTACTATATTTAAATAAAAGGTATATTAAAAAATAAGGTAGGCGTATCTTACCTACGAGGGGGTTTGGCTAGAAGCGCGCTCTGCAGGGCAGAACTTTCGAGCCGAAAGCTCTTCTTCTCGGAGCCGTCGAGCGCTCCGGGGCTTTCTTCTAGCGCCATGGGAGTTTTGGGAGGTTTAGAGAGAGAGTAGAGAGAGAAGGGTGGAGGTGTGAAGAAATGAGGGTGGAAGGGGTTGTATTTATAGGGTGAAATATGGCTGAAATTAGTGCCACATGTCACCATCTAGTGGCAAGCCTTGGGGAGAAAGCAATGGCCAAGATTGTGCCACGTCACCCCTTTTGCAGCAGCACCCTGCCAAATTCTAAACCTCATAACTTTCGCATACGAGCTCCGTTTTCGACGTTCTTTATATCCACGCGTAGGTAAAAATAAGATCTACAACTTTCATTTTGACTCTGTCAGCAAATTATCGACTGATCTTAAATTTAACAGTACGAGGAGATTATATTGTTAAATGTCCGCGTAAAAGTAAAATTCCTAACTTCTACCATACGGACTCCGTTTTCGTCTGTCTTTTTACCGTTGAGTTCCTATTAATGAGATCTTAAATTCTCATTTAGGTCGCGTAGGCAAAAAACAGCTCGATCTAAAATTCGAGTTTCGTGTCGTGCACTGCTATGCCAAATCTTAGAAATTCATAACTTCCTATACGAAGTCAGATTTGGGCTTTTCTTTTTTTGTATTTTCTAGGGTTTAACGTATACTACAACTTTTGCTTAGATTTCTAAGGATAAAAAGCCATCCATCGTAAATTCACTATTTACATCTCCCGGTGCCATGCCGGTTTTGCCGAAAAACTTCGACGTGCCATAACTTCTTCGTTATAACTCGGATTTGGACGTTCTTTATATGTACGGAACCCTTGTGACATATACTACCATTTGGTTAATATTAATCCTTCTAAATAATCTCCATCAAAACTCATTTTTGATGCTTATTGTCCTCATTAATTGACTAGCCCGAATCTGCGGGCGTTACAATTATCCCCCCTTAGGATGATTCGTCCCGGATCATCAACGAAACAGGGTTGTATAATGACTCCATACGTTATGTTTTCATCCTAGGTAATAACCGTAACTTCTATGTTTCTTCAAATGCGTATCTAACTCTTGGTCTTCTTGACTGCAAGCGGCGCTTGATCTTGCACCCGTTTCTATTCTTGTTACACTTTCACTCAGACCTTCTTGTTACAAACTCGATCTTTATCAGAGAATCATTCTTCTTCTTAACAAACATAAGATAAGTTTACTTGATTTCCACGATAGACCGATGGGTCACGTTCTAATGAACTTCCATCATATGTTTCAACGCTCAGACTCGGGTCTTTTAGAGTCAAATTCCGGAATGGATATACTTTCTTCATGTTCTAATGTGATATAATCACATTTTAACATGTAACATTTATAGCTACCAATTATTTAACAACGAGCACTATACTTCATTGATCGTTTCGATTTTCAATTTCTAGTTTAAGTCGGACGCTACATCAAAATAGTTTCTTTGAACCACGTAACATATTTGTCTTAGTCGGACTCGATTTGATATGACCACTAGGGTCGAATAACAACAATCTTCTTAGTTATTACCGAAATGATGGTAATGACATACTTTGAACAAAACGGAATCAATTACTAGCTTCTTGGTAACCTTGTGACTTTCCCTGATCCAAGTGTGAGTCATGTGCTTCCGGTAGTATAGGCCTCTACTACCATTCACACTTACTCATACTCATACCAAGTATTGTCTCGCAGTTTTCCAAGTCACCATACAAGAAAATCACATAACAGTTTAACATACCAGATAACAAAACGAAGGTTTTATTATTATTCTTGAAACTATACATAGGTGTTCAAGTTCACTCTAGACTATGCCTCTAATAGGCTACATCATATGATTCTATCCCCTGGTTCTTCATAACTCGATCTTTGGGGTATGAATTCCTTCCTCGATTCCTTACATGTTTTCTGCTTCGTCGAGATCATGTGGAATGCCCTGGCTTGGCGGTTGGTGCCTTGGCCTTGCTACTTTATTTTTCTTTGGGCAGTCGCTAGACAGTGCCCCTTGCTTCCGCATCCGTAGCATACCTATCATTTGTGTACAATCCTTGGAATAGTGCCCGATCCTCCCACAATTTAACAGGTTACTTCTCCATCGCATCTTCCGAAGGCTTCTTCTTACACTTTTCACACCACTTGGCTCCATAACTTTGGTTATCCGGGTTAGACTTCGGGAACTTTCCTTTATTATCAGGTCTTGAGGATTCTTCAAGCTTCC